CGCTGGGAAAAAAAGCAACAGTTCAAAGTGATTTTATGCCAAACGTGAAATATAAGTCTCACTCTTACAGAGAAATTGCTGAAGCAGGTAAAAGCATTACCAATACACGTATGTTGTACATGTTTTGCTCTTTTTTTGTAATATTTCAGAGTAAACGATTTTATTCCACTAGTGTTTTGTTTTGAAGCTTTTATGTAAGACAAGTGCCAATCAATAGTTCAAACATGAATACATTAGCCAATCGTGTTGTTACACTGACACGAGTACAGAGTAGAATTTTATGACAGTTTCCAGCGGACATCCTCCTTCTCTGTGCTCATAAAGACACAGGTAAGCACAGTTTTTTTAAGCTTTTCTTGGTTTTCTATAATGTGAATAAGCACATTTTGTTCAATGATCTCATTTAATTAGGTCATAATGATGTAAAAATGTTGCCAATGCATAGTGTAAGTATAAGGTTTTGTTGTGGGGGAGGGGCAGGGGGTTAAATTCTTGTTTGTATCAGATTTTGCAAACATTAAGCATTCAGCTTAAATTCAGCTTTCATGTCTCTGTGACCATTGTAATTAAATGAGACTCTCTTTATCACTATAAACTATACAGTGCTAACCCTTGTTGCACAGGGATCAGCAATGTTAAATTTCATTCACTGTGGTTTGTGCTGCTGCAGTGTATGGTTGGCACAAAATCAGAAGGAACATCTGGCCTTGCTCCAAGACAAACCACTGGTCTAGGTAGCTGTACTTAAACCGATGCCCCTGAATAAAGGACTCAGGCTACTAGCTGAAAAGGTACCAAAGAATGTAAGATAATGTAAAATAATTTACGCCTCTAAAAGGAAATCTAAAAACAAGACAGACAACTGTTGTGTCTTACCTGGAGGAAGGCATTTGAGCTGGTTATTGGACAGTCTCAGGTGCCGCAAAGACCTCAGTCTGCCGATCTCTGGACAGAGAACCTGCAGGGCATTATTGCTCAGGTCTAACGACTGCAGTCTGGCCAAGTTTCCAATAGCTGGGAATGAAACCAATCTTAATATTCAAACAAGTGAATTAAACACTGTTATTAATAGTATTGTACTGGACAATGTGCTTACCCTCAGGAATAATGACCAAGTTGTTTGAGTGCAAATACCT